ATGTAGAGAAATATAGAGTAGTAAATGCAAAGAATGAATTATAAAAATGGCCCCATCGAGAATGTGTGGTGTAATTTCCTATACAGAAAGAGGTGCAAAAGAGCCACTTGTGTAAAAATTCATATGACTCGGTCGCTGACAGTTTGTGCGGTGTCTATTTTGAGGCATGCCGAAGGAGGTTACAGCGCACTGTCCATATGCAGACTGTCAATGGCAGTGATTCTTTTGGGGTGCGCACACGGAAATGAGTTGGTTGTGACGTGAGCTAATTAATAAATATTTTTTAAAGCGCACCTTTACAGTTGGTCTGTCCATTCGCTCTCTCTCTCTCTCTCTTTCTCACACTGAACTTTTCGTCCAGAAGTGCATTGTGCTATGTGTCATTCTCTTTCCATGTTAACTCATATATAGCAATTTTTCACCTGAGCGCAAAGTGAAGGCTATATTAAAGAGCTCGATCCATTTTCGCCAAATCCGCATCATTTGCAGCTCTTTTCATTTTCTCGGAATGAACAAGAAGAAATAGAAACTTTAATCCATCGCGTATGATTTGTCCATTTGAAAAGCGCATCTGCAGCGGTGCGCTTGTGTGCTGGCTGTGTGTCGTGATTTTCGCAGAAGAGGAGAGAGGATGACTGTGCTGTTGATGGGGGGAAAAAATTACGCACAATTCTATACATTTAATAAAAGTGAAATTGGCGCGTCACAAACGCCATCATTTCTTCTTTCACTCCCAATACACAAAAATACCGAGTGGATGCTGATGTACGATCAAGTGGAGAGTAATCTATGTCTCATCCGTGGCTCGCAGTGTTAGCAATTTTCTCCATCATTGAAAAATCATTAGCGACTCAGTGGAAATGCAGTGGATGTTAAACTGCAGAGATTGATGTGGAAGCGAGAGCGGGAAAAAATGAACATGATAGACCTCCGGATGAGACAATCAAATTCTCCGGCATGATGACAAATTGGCTAAAAAGCCTCATTGAGTGTCCCGCTTTTGAAGAGAGACAGTCCACATTATATCCACAAATAAGCGAAATCATGGTATGGCAAGCATTCTGTCAATATGAAGCTAATTTGGGACACCTTTTTTTTCGCCATCATGAGGTAGAAAACATCTCGATCTGACACGTAGCATAATTACCTCGGTGATGTTGAGAAAGTAAAAATTACCATCTGAATTCATGTGTTCTCTCCCCTAAAATATATGGATTTTCACACAATTTTCTATATCGTTATGAAAGTCTATCTCAATTTCAACACAAATCCAATAACTATGCAGAAATCTCTTCGCCACATGCTTCGCATTATTCCTCTGAATGAATGAATATTCACTTGGCTTTTGTAAAGTCCAATATTGCCGTGAAATTTGGAAATCAATAAAAACACATATTTTCAGCTCATTTCTGCTAATTAGCAAATGCTTAAGAGATGATCTTATTCAGTAGCGAGTTTCGATGATGCTCTCAAATTTAGTGTTTTGGGGCTTTAGAAAGATTTTATCATTTGTTTATTGTATTTAATTTTCATATAAATTTGCAGGTCGTGCAGAGATAGCAAAAGATAAGAGTAAAATTAGGTCTGTTTAAGAACCAAGCAAAAATACAGTCTTGAGAACATAACATGTGAGATAAATTGCTGTATTTCGCATATGAAAGAAGCTTTAAAAATGTGCTAAATTCTTGCCATTGGATATTTGATTACATAACCAAGCTAAGAACAACCTGAAATCCAGACAAGAATAAATTTATTCAACATAAAAGTATCCTTGACATAAAAAAGCCATTGGCTTAAAGTTATGAGTTTAAAAATCTTGAAACTCTCTTGAGAGATAACAATAAAAATGATATGTTTTACGGCTTAGAGACAGACATGATGTAATGTCACTTCTTGGAGATTATGCAAATGAATTCTTAACTTTGGTCATTATAGAGAATTATTGTAGTTTTCGTTTTCAAGTTCCCTCGGTAACAAGCTGCCAAAAGAGCGATGGCAGGTTAGGAGAGGCTAAAAGATTTTGAATGTCAGAAAATTTTATACATGTGAACCAATATTTAGTGGTGCTTATTCAATAAAGCGACTCATGTGAATTCCTGTGCGAAGAAACACAGCTAAAATCAGAAAATTATATGGTTTAAAATTCCAATATTTGTACGCCTGGTAGAAACACAATTTTTCTGACCTCATTCACGGCTGTTTTTGGCAATTGTACACATGAAACGTGACACAGAGTCGAGAAATACAATAAATAATCCAACACTTACGGCAAATGCTAACGCTATTTACTGGAGTGTACAGTACAGTATATATAAAAAGAGAATAGACTTGTCGGCTGGACTATTGAGGTCTCTAATTTGAAACGAGAGCGAAATACATGGGCTCGAAGGCAGGTGAGACTCGGTCTCTTGCACCTCAGTCGATGCGGTACTAATTTCTGCGTCCAATTTGCATACATTTTAATTTATTTGCTGTCGAATTCTTTTTTTTCGTAGCTTCGCGCCCATGATAATGCATACGAATTAACAAAGTGGAATATGGGCTTCTGGCCTCATCTTTGTTTCACTTCTATCGCGCACCTTTTTTTCACCTGCGGAATGTCGTGTGAAAGTGTTAGATTCGTATTGGCACGTGACAAGATGATTTTAGGTTTTTTTTTGCCCCCTGGCAGAGACTGGGTGGGGAAGAGAGTGTGAGATTTGTCAGGGAGAGAAGAAAAGTCAGTAATGCAATTTGCTAATTCATTGCAAAAGTTTCTGCATGAGGAAGCGCTTCTCCGGGCCGGTAGAATTGGGTCACGGTGCGCAGCGAAATGCCTCAGAAGAGATAGAACTGAAGAATGTGGGTAGATAACTTTCTTCTTTAGTTGAGCAAAAATGTTGTATACATTTAAAGTTGGATGGGTTTTTTTCTGCTTCTTCTTGTGACACTCAATTCTCGGGTGTATTTAAATGAGTCGTCGCTGTGCGTTGGAAACACTGTCGTTTTGAATAAATATTTTTGAGTCGGTGAGGCGCGAGAGGTGAAAAAAATCGGTCATTGGACGTGTTTGAAACAGTCACATCAACACATTCGTCAAACCCCTGAACATAATCGTGAAGCGCCTCATGAGAAAATCTCCGAAAGAAATCGAATTATTGTGTCACGGAATTTCTTCTCAAGACCGAGAAAAATCCATTCTTTAGAGGCGCGCAACACATTAAGAAGCCAAGAAAATGGGTCAAGGTTTTCGCGTCTCTTCCACCATTCGTAATCTCCTCACAGGTTGGCTGACTCAAAGAAGGCGGAAGAGCTGAAGAATACATTGCTATTAAAGCCCGGGATGAGAGAAAACTCGTTTGTCAAGAAACTCATTCCTCTTGTTCTTCTTCACTTTTCTCTTTTCACCTCTTCTTTGACTCTTTCGAGAGAATATTAGGCACATAATTGATGTTCTTGCTACTTAACTCCTCTCTATCTGCCCATTTGGGCGTCAAATGGGCGCTTGGAGGAGAGAAGAAGCGGATATATTCCACAGATAAACAACAAGTTCACGGTGAAGGTCATCATCGCGATGACCTCGGGTGCACCAAGACAAATTTTGATTCGAATTATGTAAATTAACATTCTTGCGGTGAAATTACTGATTAGTCATCCAGCGCGGATGGCGAAGGTTGGGTGGAAAGAGCAGTGAAAAAGCGCGCCAAGAGAGGCCAAGAAGAGACAATATTTCCGCCTCTTGATTCACATTTAATAGTCTGGCTGGCACACCTACAATATTTTGCCAATTATTTAACAACAATACCGTCCGTCTGTCCGCGATTTTGCAAGTGGCTGAGTAATTTTATTATGTACAACTCTGACACACTTTGCAGGACGATTTCCTCCTCACAGTTCACGAGTGCATGCGAAAGAGAATTGGCATTTTGGGGGCTTCTCCGCTCATTCTCAATAATAATAATGTACATATGAATTACTCATTCAATATTTATGAATATCATTTTCATCCAAATTGTGTCAGTGACTCGGCTATCGTGCATCCCAAATCAGCCCATTCACAGACAAATCGTCATGCTGACGCGCTGGCGAAGACGCTCTATGTACAAGTCAAAAGATTGTGGATTTCTATCGCCATGATAAATACAATATAAACTCCCCAGTCTTTTAATTGCACTTTGGATACGCTTTCAAAAATTTGTGGTCTATACGTTTGAAGATGAAATTGAAATTTTGTCATTCCGCCCCGCTCGTGGAGTCTAATCTGGCGGAGGAATCAGCGTTTTCACCTTTAGCTGGAGAATCTTCTTGCATACATCATCAATTCACTTGATGAGTGGCGAGAGAAGACACTTTTCTGCACAGCGCCATACAGTTAATTAAGGAGCGCTGATTGAAAAAGCACAAGTCAACTAACTGTGAATTATGAGATAATAGAGACGTTTTATTCATTGCCCCATTCATTTCCACTAACTGTACAGCGGAAGTACCACTCTTTTGCCAAAAAATCAATTTGGAATTGACACAAAAAGTACGGTCAAAACAACGAGAGTCTGCCTTTCTTAGCCATTGTCATGCACAATTTAGCAGTTTTAGCTCGCGATCTTCCGCGAAAGCAAATGCAAGTGGAAAGAGACTCTGTGAGAAGGCAGAATTGGCATTGGATTAGTATTATTTGCTGTGCTGAGTGAGATATTCTCTTCTATTGTGAGGCCAATAGAGCAGTTGTGAATACAGTCATTGCATTTTCTCACTGACGAGCAGAACAACAATTTTATATAAAGATTTTATTAAGTGGCAATCCAATGGAAAAATGTGAATCGTGCTGGATATAGAACGATCTACTTTCCAGCACAATTTTTATCGTAATCTGTCTTCTCATTTAATTATAGTCTTCGTATTGAGGAGAAAATGATTCTCCTGCATCAGTCTATATGGTTCTTGCCAAGATCTTATTTTCTCCTCTGCTTCTTTTCATTCCCAGGCAAGTGAGAGAGAGTCACCACCCCGTCAGGGCCGGAAAGATGCCTCATTTGACAACACTATGGAAGGCAATTGTCTTGTCTTTCATCATCAACTACTTGGTGGTGAGCGCAGATGTGGAGTCCACCACGGTGGGCGATAGTGTGGCCATGGAGACATCGTACGAGGACGATGATTTAATTCCCAGTTACATTCTGCCAAAGCACATCTTCAACGAGGGAAAGCCATTCTATGTGGAGAAGGATCCCATCTCGGGAAAATTGGATTTCAGTGCTAAAAAGTCTGCTGGATTGGAAAATTTCATCAGCAATGTGCCAGAAGGCAGCAAAGAGAAGGCCACAGATATCCATCCGCTCGGCCCCAATGAAATCACACCAAATTTCCACGACTTCCTCAATCTCCCTGTGAAGTACTCGAGCGCAAAGTCCGTCTATCCGCTCGTGTCGTCATCATACGCAAATCTAAAGTATCAGGGCAACAATAAGAACTACGTGAGCAATCATAAAAATTACACGACCAGCACGACATCCAGTCCAAAATACTACACGAGTTCGCAGAAGCAGTCCACGACAACTAAATTATTCAGCAGCACGAAGCCTTTCACTTCGACAATTAGGTCAACAGAGCGACCGACAACATCCTCATTCACTACGACAACACTTTCCTCCACGACTCCCTCGACTACTAGGGTTTCCACCACGACCAGCAGCACAACGACCACGACTCCCACGACAATCTTCCGCCGAAGACCGTCTGTGAGCGCCACAACTCCGACGCCAATCACAACCACACCGCCCAGGAGAACCTATCCTTCGACGACTCCCGTGTACCAGACGAGGCCCCAGACAAAGCCGCCGCGGGGACCAACGAAGTATGAGTATACGCCGAAGCCCCTCTTTGAGGATCTGCAGAAGCAGTCAACTGTGGAAGTCACACGCTCGACGACTCCTGTGCCTCCGAGCACCGCCAGTCAGCCTAAAGTGACCTCAACATCCAATTCACCTTCTCCAAGCGCTCCTGCCACCATTCCAGTGCGCTTCCCTCCGAACTCCGACACAGCGCAGTCAACAGATAAGAAGACCATGACTCTGTCCGACCTCTTCAACTCATTCTCAGACGATGAGATTGAGGAGTCCGATGAGGAGATTGCGACTCATTCGAATGCCATTCAGCATGAGAGTAGCAGCGAAAGGATTAAGGAGCAGCCGATCGGACATATTAAGAACTCGGGCGGGGCTCAATTCCACCACGATGACTATGTGAAGTATGAGGTGCAGAGACCCAATCTCAATGTCATGCCCTATCAACCAGTCTCCAGCATGAACAACATCGTAATTTCGCCGGATCAGAATTCAGCCTCTTTCGTTCTGGGCAGTCAGCAATCGGTTGGAGAGTCCAGCAGTGCAGGTATATTTGTGGGCAGCGCCGAACAGGCACCGATCTTCGACACTCAGCATAGTTCCCAGAGACCACACGGATTCACCACGATGCCCAGCATCCAGATAAAGCCTCATGAGTACAAAAGCACCAGCGTTCGCTTCCCCAGCGCCACGGATCAGCAGATGGAGGCTTTCGAGAATGCCCCAGTCATCACGGGCACTTATAACAATGAGATCACCATTCCAAATGGACATTCAGCGCCGGTGGCTCTGCCTCATCACCAAATTGTTGTTTTTCCGCCGAATGAGAAACTCCCTGTGGCCACAGTCAATGCGGAACTGGGATCAACTTTCGATTCGAAGCAAGTGGGCACGAGAATTGTCTTTGGCAGTGATGAACCTATTCAGAAGCCCAGCGAAAATGACTTTCCAAATCCGCAACCCACACTCGCCGACAACTTGACGCCACCACTTGAGGGATCAGCGACTCATCAGAGACCCAATGCGATTCCGGGCAATCAGTACATTCAGGGCTTTAACAGACCACATCCGCCGCCTCACTTCCTCTACGGCCCTGATGGAGGACACAGGAAATCCGTCCCGCCAGTACATAGGCCGATGATCGACAGACCTCTGCCGAATATTCTGCCTCAATTCCGACCAAATGCTAAAGTCTCTCACGGTCATCCGTACAACAAGGAAGTTGGCGTTCAGCGAGTCTCTCCCAATAGGCGTCCTCAAGACATTGGAATTCATCATCCAGTGCCTCCGCCACCGCCTTCTTTCCCCATCAGGAGAACTCCTTTGCCCAATCACTTCGCGTCGAAGATCGCTCCTGGAGTGAGACCAATTGACTTCAATCACAGCGAACCGCACAGAAGAATTTACAGACTTCCTCCACCGAGATTGCCGCAGGGCCCGATTCCTGGTCCTGACCGCTTGTACGCTCAATCTCTGCCGCCGCGCAAGTTCATCGATGGCTTCCCAGTGGCACAGCAGCATCCCAGCCATCCGGACAGTATTCCTCCGCCTCGTGGAATTGTGCCTCCTCCTGCATATGACAATGAGAACTTCTTCAAATTGCCGCCGAGATCGAAGCTGATGGAGCGGAATGATCAGGAGAGACCCAAGCTGGAACCTGTGGTCACATTGCAAATGATGCAGACCAAAAAGCTTCTGCAAGGTAGGCGATTTGAGTAGTTTTTGAAACAGTGAGATTGATGTTATTTCATGATTTCAGGACCAGGAAGCAGCCAGGCTCAGAATGTGACTGCAGCGATAAATGTGGGTCAGCCTAATCACGGAGTGAAGCTGGGCGGAAGCGAGAAGAGTCCTGTGTATGTGGTGTATCCCATCAAATCTGGCCCAGAGACAGAGGATCCCATCGTCATTGGCCAGAGAGGAGATCAGCTGCCACTGCCACCGTCGGAAATTAGCTCAATGTCTCACAATGGTGGTGATTATCAGAACACTCCATTCACAATTATCCACCACGAGCAGGAGCCAATTCTGGGCTCCAAGTACAAACCGAAGCCACCGAAAGGACACTTTCCGTACTTCATGGAGCAGCCAGATCCCAAATCTGCTGGAGAAATGGGGAAGAAGGTTCCGCTGACGCTTCAGAAGGTAAATGAGGAGCATTCGCACAGCATGTACAATATTGGCGAGGAGCCAATGGGTCCTCCGGCCGATCAGAAGATCTCCAGCACGCTCACGAGAGTCACTGATCGACCCATTGCCATCGCCTACACTCCCACGGAGTCCAATCACTTCCACCGGCGTCCTGATGACAGGTTCTCAATGCCCAACTACGGTCATGCAGTCATCTCGGAGATCAGGGAGACGCAGACTGAGGCTTCCTTCGTGCGGGACGATCATGAGTATCCGCTGAGGAATGAACACTATCAGCAGGACTTCCAGGCGCCTTTCTTCCCCAGCATAAATCTCGGCACGGTGACAGATCCCTACAGAGGTTTGTTTGCACGAAAGGTACTGAAGATCAGGACTCTGAAGGTTTCTTTTGATCTTTTCAGACACCAACAACAAGATTGACCGCGCCGATGTGGACGTCAAGGAGACTGAGTTCAACTCCGCTGAACTCGTGACGAAGAGGTTCGACCTGGAAGCGTTCCAGCCTGAATACTTGAGTGGCTTCAAGCCCATCTACCCGTCTGATCCTCACCACTCGCAGAATGTGCAGTCGAGTGCGGAGATCAGAGAAACGCCCGCGTCCACGACTGAGGAGGCGCGAACGGAGGAACCCATCAAGTCGGAGATGAGCAGCTTCGAGCAGACTCTGGACGCTCTCTTTGGCAGCATGGACGACGACGAGGAGGAGGGAGAGGCGTTTGACGAGGAGAATGCCGATGTGGACACAACCACGACGAGCAGGAGATAAGTAGGACCTCTAGGGAAGATTAATTTGTAAGAAACATAATTTATTTCGATAATTCTAACACGAAAATCATCCGTTGCGAATTGATAAAGAGGTAAATAGAGAGAGATTGATACTGGACACGAGCATCTCTCCCTCGAATAACATTGCGAACTCAGACTGATTTTTTGTATAATTTATTTAAAATGAAAAGGAAGAGGAGAAAAAGAAAGAGTAAAAAAAGCGAAAGTCAGCCGAAGTTGAGTTATAGAATTAACACAAAACGGAAAGGAATAACGCAGCAACCACAGAAAATAGTAAGAGGAAAAGGATGAACAAGGTGAAATATTCGGAATATTGGAACCACCTGAAGGGAATACTTCACTTGTTCGGGTCGCGAATGAGGAATAAACTTAAGAGAATTGGATATTGTAGTCCGATAAAGAGAAAATAATTTATGACAATTTGATAAATAATAAATGGTATTTTGTAAAGATAGAAAACATGTCAGTATCTTTTTTCTCACTGCGGTCTATTCATGGGGTTCTGCGGAGAGCGTGTCCATTCCTTGAAGAGCAGCTGCTTCCACTGCGACAACTTCATCGTGGGATTCTCCAGCTTGATCCTAGTCATGTTCTCCTCCTCGAACGCCTTGAAGGCGGCCTTCATTCGCTTCTCCGGATGCTTGTCCAGAGCGTCGTCCTTCATACTCAGCGCGGCGATCGCTTCGTCAACAGTCGTGGCCACGGTGCTGTCCAGATTCACCCTGTTCAGATTCTCCTCCAGCACAGGCTCCTTGATCTTCGGCGGTTTATTGATAGCTTCGATATTCTTGTTTCTGGTCTCCACCTCCTTCTGGATCTGTGCGCGGGTAATCTTCTGGATCGAGGGCTTCCCTGTCGTCTTGATGGAGCTCATCTCCTCTTCGAGGAGTTGCTTATTCTCAGCCTTTTTCCGCAATTGCTCAGCCTTCCTGCGCTCCTCCTCCTCCTTCTTCTGCTTCTTCTTGGCCAGATTCTTATCTGCACGGATAAACAGCGGGAAAATTCCATTAGGCTTCCGGAGGTAAACCAGATAAACAACCTTGGGGTTATCTCTCTCACCGTCATCATGCCACAACGCGTCCTCTTTCTCCTTGGCAATTTTCTCGTTGAGCGCCTTCTTCGCCTGCAGCTTGCGCTCGCGCGCCTCCACAGCCTTAGTGTTTTCTCCCATTTTCTTAGGCATTTTGCCCGAAATTGCTAGAGAAAATTGCACAGATTCTTCAAACAATGACACTCTGGAAGTCTCTTGAATGTTTTCTAAATTTCCCATGAGCTAGAAAGAGACGACTATAGTCGTCGCTATTGGAAAGATTTCGAACATCGAACTCATTACGCGTAGGCTATCGCGTGTCTGGACTGAACCAAATGAACTATTCTACCATTCCTACGATTGATTTCCACTTTATTCTTATTCTTGTTATGCTTATTGTTCCATGGGAATATCAGTTTTTGCCTCCTGCTTATTAATTTTCATCGAAAATTTGCCGTCCTCTCCGGAATTATCCACCTTGACTTCGACTGTGAAATCTGAGTCGCTCGGCTTCTTCCCATCTGTCGGCAGAGTCATTGCTGCCTTTGCACGTCCCTCGAGCTTCACGCGATTCTTGAATCGCTTCATTAGTTCGCCATGAGTTTCATAATACTTTATCATGTCTTGCGGAATTCTCTCGTTCAGCTCTTGCGATGTCATCAAATCCAATTCCGTGCAGTTTTGCCACTTTACAAGGAAGAAGAATTCCCCATTAGCCAAGGTGGAACCTGCAAAGTACAGTAAATATTGAAGATTTGCTTTGTGTAAATACAAACAATAACATTGGCTTTCCCAGCAACTTACCGACTATTTTCTCAAATTCCAGCGCCCGATCGAAGCCTCGAGGCTTCTCCACTTCCTCAATCTTATTTTTCTTCCGCCCACGAGCCATTTTCTTGGGATGTACTCCTTTAATTTCCTCCACGGCTTCTGCTGTTTTTGTTTACACCGCTAAACGCCACAACTGACAAGCAATCTCGACGGCGCTCCGAAATGCCGGGAACGGGAATCGAGAAAGGCGAGAACGGCGAGAATATCGCGATATTTTTCGAAATCTTTTACAGTGTCAGTTTGACATCGCAGTTGGCACTTTTATTTTCGCGAATTTCTCGTGCTGCTCGCTGGATGGAATAGATTATTGAATTTATTGGATAAATTGGGTAAATCAATGGTAAAGTGATAGTGGACCACACAGAGGAGGCAACTGTCTGGGATGAGGAGTGAGATTTGGAGACTTTCCGCTTGATCTGTAAGTGTTTCTGCGTTCCTATAAGAAATCCCCCTCTCTTTTCTCCGAATCAGCCAAAAGGAATTTCCTGAGATAATCATAATGTCTTCTCAAATAAACATTGGGGAAGAGGTGCTGAAATAGTACTTGCACCACGGGAAAGATCAGTGAATCGCGGTAGATTAATGGACGATCTGAAGGCGAACATTTGAGTGAAATTGGCAATTTGTTGCCTCGAGGCGCCATAACACGGGAAAGTAGAAAATTGAGTCTTTTTGCCCCCTTGGCGCTAATCAGTGTCGCTGGCAGATCAAATGAGGAACTCTGCGTGGAATGCTCAGCAATCTTGCTATGCAATTAGCAGACAATTGCGATGAGGTTGCTCGGTTTGATGCTCGGCATTCCTGGCGAGAGTCGCTCTGGAAATAATTGGTTGTGTGTTGTTTCACTATCGGAATCATGGGCATCCAGCGAAGCCACCGACTCCGCGGAGCATCTCCGACGCTCGTCTCGCCCTACATTCTATGCCTGCCCAGCGGCGATGGCGCCTGCGCCACCGCGGGCCCCCTCGGAGAGAGTCCTGGTCCACGCAAGTGCGCCACTCTATTGATCCGCACTCTCTCCGGGCACTGAGTCATCGTACGTGCGCTTTTTGGAGGGCGAACAGAGGCGGCTCGCGTTGCTCCTATTTGCAATTCCGCTCATGGAGGCTCACACTTCCCAAATGGGAGCTCCAATGCAAGCAGAAAGAATCGAAATTCTGGTGGGCGATCGGTAATTATATTCCGCCAAGGCTGTTTGAATTCACAGTTGCTATATTTGTTGATCACATTGGCAATTAATTCCTCCAGAGGAGCATTCAATGAAACAACAATGGCTCACTGTTTTGATTTTGGCGATCCTCTGAATTGGGGGCTTATTATTTGAAGATCAAACTTCCTCTGGAAGACTCGGTTCATCCGGCAAATGCCTAATGTTTTCGCATGGAAGGCAAGATTTTTGAAATACTAGAATTTCTGTTTATAGAGAAGGAACAGGAACGTCCTGATGAGTATCCTTCGAAACCCCTGAGAGACATTCCTCCGCCTCTGTGGCGTCCAATCACATCCCTCCATAAGGGTGCTCGAGAGAGGTGAGCGAAGTCCACAGAATGAGGGGAAATCTCTACACTTTTCATGGAAGATTTTACTCGTTTTCTTGTGCACAGTTCGAGTTCCGCGAAGAATCTGGCTTTTTTGCTCCCTTCGAGGGTCGAAAATGTAATAAAAACATTGCCTTTCGGTGGGACAAACATCGTCCCAGTGGAATTACAAGTGGAATTGAGTGTTGAGTAACAGAGATCAAAGCGATACGCAAAAGAGTGGTGATGGTGATTGAGGAAAAAGAAAGTGGCAAAATTTGGTATGAGATTGCATTGATTTTTCCAAATTGAGACTCCGTCATAGTGTTGAATGTTTGCCAATGTTGCGATTTTTCTTGCTTTCCTTGCGAACTCTTGCACAATTTCTTCAACTTTTGATGTTGGCGACAAAGTGTGCGCGCGTGTGTGCGTAGAAATGGAGGGACAGAGCGTACAAAGTTGTATATTTATTGGTAAAAAGTATGAATCATTCGGGTATGATTATGAGTGACGTCACTTGATGACATTATAGACCAAATTTCGGCACCCTTCCGACTCACTTCCCGAAGGCGTGTGGCAAAGTTTTGGCGAAGCATATTGCTTTGGTCGTGTGCAAAAGAGGGGGAGCAAAAAATAAAACCAAGTCGAATTGGTATGATTTTAGGGGGTCTCGAGTGAGCACTAAATGCCCAAGAAATTCGCAAGATTGAAGACAATTTGTGATTTCTCTTCACGCATTCCAAACTATTGAATTCATATACTTTGTGTTTAGCTTCTCAAGCCATAAACGTCTCCATTCTCTTGTGACTCTCTGGGAGGGAATTGTAGCGAGTAATTTGACGAGAGTGTGTCTCGACAGTATGAACGAACACGATATTAATTTTAAAAGGCAGGGAGTGGTGTGGAAGGGTTGGAAGGCGCTCAATTAAAGTCGTCAATGTGTACTCGTTAAATATGTTATATATGTTTGTCTCATCTCAACATGCAATTCTTGTGCCATGAGAGATTGTTCGTTTTTTTCGCAGCAAGATTTACTATTGTTCGAGAATGTAATAATTACTTTTCTCGAGTGTAATTATGAGATTTTTCACTTAGCAACTGTTTTTCTTTCCCTGGAAAAGCTGTTTTGTTATGCGGAGAAGATGGTTTTTGGGTGGCTTACGAAAGAATTTTAGATTTGGAATAAGAAAAGTGCTAAAGTTGAGACTTGTTGGTGGTTTTGCTACTGTCCTCGAGCTAATTAATTGTCAGGTTTATGACTGTTATCATATTTCCTTAACAAGGCTGATGTTTTTATGTACTTCTTAGCCTTGGGCGTTTAGTGTGAGGCTCAATAAATGGTATTGCTTTTGCAAAAGTGTCATGCATTCTATACTGAAACCATTAATTTAGAGTGTTCAAAGCGCAAACTCTCTTTCTCGTCTCTCTCCTATTCCGCCCTTTTATTAATGGACACACACAGTTTGTGTACATTTTGTCATGCTATTCCCGATGTTTTCATATGAACGATCCACAGATGGAAAAGTATGTATTTTCATAATGTGCCTCCCCGATGAATACAACAACATAAAATTGGAGAAATTATGAGCAATATGCCATCCACTGTGTAACTATAAACTGTGAGAGGCTGTCGGAAAAAGGAGCATAGCGAGAGATAGAGAAGGAGAGATGAGCTTGATGATCATCCTCGAAGCCACGAGAGTGAGATTCGAAAATAAAGTACAAAATATTTTTTGACGAAACATCGTGGAGGAGAAAGAAAACGATATACAATAAAAATTCATTTTCGTTTTTGTCTTTACGATATGAGGCAGTATTTTTAGAAAATGCTCCTCCACAGTGATTCATTTCATGCAATAAATATTGTAAATATTGTGTGTATATAGCTGAAGAATTTTTGTATCTTTTATTGTCTGAGGGTGTCTCTCGTCATGGTGATAATGCATTCCATGGGATAATTATGTCTTTTCGACTTTTTATGTTCCCTAAATGACGATTGTCATCATTCAGGGGAATTCTTTGAAGCATTAATTGAGATAGAACTGCTGTTTTTATTGGAAAGACACACGGCTAAGCTATAAAATTGTTAGACAAATATGCTATTTTTACAAGTTTATCGTCAAAATTGTCTCATCATTTCACTCAGTCTATCTATTTGATAGGGAATATTTTATTCAAACGACTCATTCCATAGAGCGTAACTGCTACACAGTGTTCTTGTTCTTGATTCTAACACACAACATAATAATAATAATGGGAAAATACGACGATGCGGACAGCAAAGGTTCTATTTTCGGCAATGGCATATTTATAGAATTTTAGGAGAGAAATTTATTCACTTTACCAACATGTTATACTGTGAAAACCTTTCCGGCCTTTCTCTCTCAATCTCACTCTAGAAGACCCGAGTGTGATTGCGTATGCCATAAGCCCACTCTCTTGTGCTGGAGAAAAACCGAGAGAAGAAGAAAAATAATGTAGTGTTAAGAATAAAACCATGATGAAAATGCGTAAGAAAACAGTAAAATTCATTCCCAGAACACAGAAAATAAAAGCGCCACGCTTCAATACAACATCTTTGTTGACTTTTTCGTTTTTGAATAGATTTCTATTTTGGTGTTTTATGAATAAGTCCTGCAATGATCACAGAAAAATATTGTACATGAAAGAGTTGGAGAGAGAATTTTTCTAAGAATATTTTTTTTTGTTCTTTCTTCCAGAGATCATCTTCGATTTTGTATGCGGAAGACTTTTGATAGAAGCGGATCTTTGCTGTGACGAATCTCTATATGGCATTTCGAATAATTCATATCAGGTGAGTAAAGTAGTGAGATGAGGGCAGAGTTTTTTGGCTCACGCACGAATAAAAATTGTGAATATGATTGTATGAAAAAGAGATCACAGATTGTGTGTTTGCGCGCGCGATGCGGGAGAAAAGAGCGATCTATATTTGAAACAAGTGTATTTTTACTAATAAACACCACTGTAGAGTTGCTCGATGAGATGCTGGGTGATATTGTGAGAGAGAGAGAGGAAAACTCAGCCCAGAAGCCAGAGAGATGTTTTAGTATTCCAGTAGCATCGGTCCGATTATATTGGTTTGATGATCTCTCTCGCGGGCTTTTTCACTTCCCTCCCGGTTTTTCATCGAGCTAATAAAATAAAAGAGATTTTGTGGTGCATTTAGAGGGAGAGCTACTGTTAGGGATCGAAAGGGTGTGTGCTCGTGATTTGGTATTTATTTGTTATTTGAGAAAAACATTGGGGGAGTGCGTGGAGTGAAGCAATTGGGGAATTATATAAATTGGTGCTGGTGTAATTATCAACTGGCATGTTGAGCTCTCTTCACCGCACTGATTATTTGGTGGGCTCTGGGAAAAAGTCTCCCCAAATGCTGAGAAAGAACCTCAGCAGTATTTTGTAAATGGATAAACACCGCTGAGGATCCCTCGATGTTGAGGAACTCTCCCTTGATGAGTTGATGGAGAGTTTTCCCATAAATTCCTCGTGAGATACACCATGTGAAATATTTACTCTTATAAAGTGGGAGTTTTTGAGTGAGAGAAAGAAAATGAGGGTGACTGAATGTCATTTGGACACTTTTTCCATTTCTCGCGTGTGTATGCTGTTGTTGTTGTTGTCTATACCATGAATTTTCCTAATGAATTTGTGCTGTTTGGAGAGAAGAAGAAAAAAAGTGTATTCATTATACCGTATGATGCTGTCTTCCACTTGAATGGTCGCCATGCCGAAAAGAAATAGAGAGCCATTTAGTTAAGATCAAGTGACTTTTCCTCCAATTCCACCGTTCCACTTTTCTTCATTATGAGCTTCGAATGAGTGCCATTTGTGAGAGATGAGGAGAGGGAATGAACGTGGGAACAAGGCAGAGTGTGAGATTCTGTACAAGGTGTGGAGGAGCGTCTTGTATTTCAAATATAACTACGCGACATTTCTATGATGATTGACTTTATACATTGTGTATCCATAAATTGATGATTGAAGGTGGAGTAGTGATCTCCTCGAGAAATCTCTGCAGCTCTCTGCCTTTTTTCTGCTTCTCTTCACCCACATTTCATGCCACGAGAGCCCGTCACTCTCGGGGCGAATTGTATTGGACCGAAGCAGGAAATAGGGATCGATTTATTTCTCGCCTGAACGATTTGATGCGTTCACCAGTGTGTGGATGTTTTGATAGAGGAAGGACAGATTTAGTTTTCTCGCTCGTGTCACCATTACAATATGCACTTTCGCGAGTGTACTTGAGTTCTGCTGGTCTGCTGCTGTGTTGTGTGTATTTCGCCAGAACAGAACAACACTCTCTCTCTCTTCACCCTGATAACAACACTCTCTGGTTGGTCTATTTTAAATTGCTCTCAATTGGCATCAATTCAAATGTATGAACTCATCGCCACATTCTCGACTCCCGAACTCACTTATTCACCACATCACACTTTTATCAGAAATACACGAGAAAGAGGAGTTTAATGAGTGTGTGCAAAGATGGTGGAGAATAAGCTCAAGTGTGACTGAGAGAGTGTTGAGATCATGTTCGTTCACATCTTTGGATAATATAAACAGTCATAATCAAATTTCAATTACAATGCAGTCTCGTCTTTTGTTGTGATTATGACGAAGGGTAAATATGGCAGAAGATGAAGTTTCATTTGCTAGTTTTAGCGTCAATTGCTTCATTTCCTCAATTTAGTTCCTCCTGGGATTTAATTTATGGTGGTGGAATTTCAATTTCCTCCTCTTCATTCGAATTCCCAGTCTATGATTTATGTTTGCGTCAATTTAACAGTCAAACAGAAGATGAGTAATTAAAATTGTGATTATTTTTGCAGACTTCATTCATATTCCAATGTTTCAATTGGAAGAATGATGGTAGGCAGAAAGAACAATAAGGCAATTCGTTTATTAATATCAGAATAAAAGTGTTGAAATTGGTCGGAAAAAGTCTTGAGCACAAGTAAAGACTCAATTTTAGTCATATTATTCTCACAGTATTTGCAAAACATTGCAAAAGCAATGGTTATTTTGTGTTTAACAACTTGTATGGAATGTTTTTACTTAACTTTTTGTATGCGGAACACAAATAGTAATTCGAAGCATTTCCACTGACTTTCCATAGGCGAAATTTGGATGTTTGACAAAGTCACAAATTGGATTATAAGAGATTGAGACTTGAAAGAGCGTAAATACTTTCACAATGATGTGAATGGTTGTTTTACTTCTCTTGTTGCGCCTCATCTTGCAGTCAGTCTCGACGCATTCGATATGGAAGAAGAAGCAATCATGTACAATGAGTTGTGTATGAGGCACATAATCAATGTGCAATGAGTTAATTACAAACGCCTACAATTTCCCACCGTAAATTATAATATCAGTTTTTTGAGTAATTGATGACTGAAAAACACGCCATAACGTAATATATTTTGTGAGGAGTCTGAGAATTTTCATCCAATGGGCTTGTCAAGAGTGTTCTTCTCGCGCTTGAGCATCGTGAAGAATGGATGTGATTGTTGGAAGGGCCTTATTTGTGCCTAGCTGGTAATCTTCTGATCGTATTCTGTGTGGCACTGCATCTCCGTGTGTGTGATTGTGAGAGATCAGCATGAATTAAACATCCGCTCATGGTTATATTGGGCCTTTTTTCTGTGGTGGCGGCGAGGCGAGCATATTCCAAAATATAATGTTTCTCTCTTGCAACTTGGGCGACTCATGTGGCTTCAACAGTTTCACTCCTCTTGCCTTCGGGAGCGTCCGCAGGGCGAGAGAAGCACAATAATTTCTTTGACTCATTGGATGCCTTTTCCGGGAACTTTTTTCAGTTTTCACACTGCTGAATCGTATCAAGAACGCTGTGAATTGTTTTTTGTGGTGTTTGTGGTGATCTTAGACATGAACATGGGAATGATTTCGAAGCAGGACTGATAAAAAGTGAAGCAGTGATAAATTGTTGTAAAGTAAAACGTCTACTGGAACTTATAAATAACAGCCTAATGTGATGTGTAATGAAGATAAGAAGTACTGGGACTGAAGAAAAAAATCATGGTGAAATTATCACTCGACAATATTTTATAGTGACTCTCATATTTAGTCACTGGAGTTGTTTATAGTTCTCTGCAAGAGCACCACCAAATTTATCTAATGCTTTTGGTATTTATGGTGTGTTTAATGAAAATCTGGAACATTTCCATGAATAAGGCGCGAAAATGCGATACAAAAGAAAATAATTTCTTTTGTCACGTGGACTTTCAGAGCGCGAAGAAAGGTACTTGACTTCGGTGGAAGCCAAAACACTGTTCATTGTGTATTGATTTTTTTAACTGCCTATTCTTCTCTGTCACCGCATAAAATCTCTTTCTATTCTAATCGAAAGTGTGTGTGTGTTCTTGTTCTTTGCAGGCAAAAAATCCGTGCGTGGCATGTCCGAGCAGACATACCGTAAAAAGTCACGACTAACCAATACATCTCCTCAACATTGTAAGGCTCCATTGTCCAGTGTTGCACTGAATTTGTGCGCCAAGACGGCCTCGTGTGGTGTCTCTGCTTCAGCCGCAATTGCCACTAATGCACAGGATATTGGCAATAATAATTTCGAGCCAATCGCCAGCAAGCGATTGACTGAGGAGCATCTGAAGACAAACGTCCAGATTGTGCTGACAAACATTCATCGCAACTACAACGCATTGCGTGGTGTGGCGGTGAATCCTCAGCTCCTGGACAGCTTGGACTACAAATTAATTGAGAAGATGGCCAGTCCCGAGGCGGATTACAATAGTAATCCACATTATGCAGTTAATCAGCTTCAATGTTCTGTTGCCTCATCGCAAGATTTCACTCACGACAACTCCGATTATCAGTGGTTTCTGGATTATGGGTAAGTATTCCCACAGTTAAGACTAGACTCTCTTTCTCCCTCTCTCTCTCTCTCTCTTTCCTTGTCACGTTTACCCGACGTGCAAAAAGTATCGGTGATTAGGGTAAAAGTCTTTGATCCCTCCATTGTACTGGTAAACAAGTTAATTTCACTCTCTACACTCAGTGCATGTTTAAACTTCCTCTGATGTGAGTCAAAGATATATATTATGTATTTAATTGGTGGAATAGATAACAAGAATATTGATAAGACTTCCCTGAAATCACTCCAATAGTCATGTGACTAATGCCCTACTTTCATTGTCACCCTAGGTATCGAGAAGGTGTTCCTCATCAGAGCATTTTATCGTCCCTGTCGGCGTCGTACAACGGCATCGGAGACGTGTCATACTATGAAGATCTGGCGAAGAATATCGATGTGAATTTGGCTGAAGTGGACATGGAGAGTTTCCGGGCGGAAGACATTCACTCCCTCCTCAATATACCATCGCGAAAGAGGCAGGAGAATGAATTCGACACGTCAATCTGCAAGTCTGAGTTGCTCTTTTCGCCCGTGAAGGAGTCCCACATCAGCGTGGATTCACTCGATATGGATGGCTATCCGAATGAGGACATCATACTGACGTGCAAAGCCAACAAGGACAACTACACGATTGCCTTTGAGGGGAGCATAGCGTATTCCGAGGACAGTTACTACGGGGACATGCGTCACGGTGCGCGTCATCAGAAAATTGATGAGGTGGTGAGGAGGAAGGCGCTGGAGTCCATGTCACGATCGGACACGGGTTTCACGACGTGGAGTAAGCTGAAGAAGGCGGCCAGTTCGCAGCTTCAGCGATATCCATCGGGGAATAATAACACGTCTGTGACTCACGCGCCCAGGCATAATCCTCACTGTATCCTGCGGAAGAGCTCGAGCATGCCGAGCTTGCATCCTGGCCAAGTGAATCAGCTTAATGTGAGTCAAGTGAGCAATTCTGTGGCCACTGGCAGACTACCGAGGGTGATTTGTCCAATGTCCACGGAGACAGACAGTGATAGTCCGGCACCGCTTCAAAGCAGTAGCAATAATGAGAATGTGCCCAACCAGCCGTCGTTCAGCCTGGTGAAGCTGTTCATCAAGCAGAAGAGCAACTCCACGGACACTTGCATGGACGTGTCGTCGGGATGCTGGCCCAGTGACTCTTCCTCGTCTGCCGAGCAGAATCGCGTGCGCAAGAGGAGCATGAATGACTCTGGGAAGTGCTCAGCTCTGAGTCGTCACGACGAGGAGGGCGATGACGACAGTTGTCAGTACGATAGTCTCGATGTGCAGGTGAACATGGACAATAAGGCTGCGGGTGGGCGACAACGCTCAAATGATCTGTACAAGGAAGTCTTTGATTCACCATCACGGCGAAGCTACAAGGAGTGCAATCTCAATATTAGAACCCAACCCAAACATCCGGCGGTGTTTAATCTCAACAATAACAATTCTCTGGAGGCGAATAAGAGTCTGACGGACACGAGTCGTACCAGTGAGAACTTGACTCAGGTGTACAAGACAAAGGTGTCCTTGGACATGATCACGAGGTCCATGCAGACGTCCTTCCCAATGGCACCGACCAAGGAGCGCGTGAAAGTCGTGCCACCGTCCTTCCTGGCGCAGCTCAACAGGCACGAGAAGAAGACGGCGCCCGTGTATGTGATCTATCCCAACTATACGCTGCCAAATTTGGACTTCTTGGAGATGCAGAATGAGGTGATCTTGTCGCCACTGGAGATGCCTGCCAAAAAGCGGCCGCGGCCGAAGAGTCTGGCTGACATTGAGAGCATTGCCACGGGAAAGTACAACCATATCGTGGATTGGAAGTCACTGGTGATGCTTCTGCCCAAAGAGTACCGGCGAATGCTGCGCAATATCCCAGAAGTGGAGGATGATGTGGATGAATTTGATGTGGATATGACTTCGCAAAAGCCTCTCTTCTCCATGACACCTCCTCTCCGGCGATCCTCTCGGCCGCTGTCTTGCGATTGTGCCAGCTACGTTCAGGGCACGTGCACCTCCAGCAGTTCTAGTTCGACAAATCAGCCGCCGAGCTCTGGTTATCGGGGATCATCGACTCTGCTCACAGATTCTGAGTTGGAGAACAACAATGACAACATGAGGAACATGTACGTTTACCAATACGATAGCAACAAGATTGAGAGTGATCTGGATCGTCCGCCGACGGGACGCAAGGGCATTCTGAGGCGGGGCACTAGTCAACCGAAGCCACGCTACAAGCGCAACAGCATGATCGAGGAGGAGCAGAGAGCGCAGGTGGAGAAGAGGCGCTCGCTACAGGATATGCCGTACTATGGCAATGAAGACTTCCCGGAGGAGTATGAGAGTGTGGACAAGAGACTACCGTACCGGTCGCGGCCACTCTATCCGGGCTACAACAACATCGATCCCAATAATCACCGGCTTCCGCATCCCAAGCAGTATTATGACTGCAATGCAGTCAAACTCAACAAGACCAACTACAACTACATGACAGAATTGAATGATCTGGAGCTCAACAGGGCGATCTCGGGGCGCTTGAGTCAGACGCCGCCGTTCACGTCGCCGCAGAAGGATGTGGAGATGGATGCGAGGACCAGAGCGGAGAATTTCCTTAGCAATGTGCCGAAGTCTGAGTTGAAATACTACGCGGAGATTGCGAATATTCTGGAGTCCATTGAGAATGTCACGGAGCCGTACGATCGACTGAAGCTGAGGAATGAAGTGAGTCGTGCGTTGGTGCAGAAGAGGGTGTCATTCAATCCGCCTGATGGTGGGAACAATAACATCATCAATAACAATTTGCTGGCAATGCCACAAATGGCTGGAAAGGCGTTCACGACGCCCCCCAATTCACCGAACATCTCAATGGCGATGCCCAGGGCGAAGAATGCGGTGTCGGAGAAGGAGAAGCAGGAGAAAATCCAGAGCAATCGTTTCAAAAGACTGCAAATTCAGTGGGAGCTGCTGAGCAAGGATAGCCAGGGTCTCATGAAGGACATGAAGGAGAATAAGTTGGAGACAAAGAGTGGCGGATCAACGCCCACGTCAGCGCCCAAATCGAGAATTCCCCGGCCAGTCAGCTATCCGACAGCCAAGTGAGTAGCATTTGAGGTCTTTTGGGGAATCAAGGTGAGGTGTTAATTGGTGTTCATTGGATTTCGATTAGGCCTCTGCAGAGTGAGAGTAAGAATCTTCGATCGCCGAGCAAGATTGTTCCACCCCGGAAATATACCACGACTAATACGTCGCCCACAACTCCTGCTGTGACAACAAGAACGACAACTAAACTGCACGGAACACCAAAGAAAACTCCAACTTCAAGGTAAAGTTTTTCATTTGTGCCAATAAGAACATTTTTTTCTAATGAGAACTCATGTGTTTCTCTGCAGGGTATCAACAAGAACGCGGTAAAGATGGAGAGAAAAGTAATTCATCAGTTCTTAATCTTAAGAGATACCAAGTGAAAATATAGTAACAATTAGATGAAGAATAATGCTAGCAATGTAATGTGAAAAAAAGAGTTACAAATGAGACATAACTAGCTAATGATCTACGTTGTTATAAGATCACGTAGAAAGATACACACACAAACACACCCTGAAATAATTTTTAATGCATAGTAAATGGGTAAAGAGTTTCTTTCTGCAGCGTTGAACAACAAAGTAAATACTCGAAGAATATTAATTTCTACAATGTTTCTTCACCCTATTTAAATATTATCACTAATAATGTAAGTTTAAATGCGTGTGCTTATCAATTTCTTTGAGTTGTGAAGTTATTTTTCACCTAGAAGATTGCAAGTGAAATCCATAACTGAAATAATCATGTGAACGCTTTTGCTGAGAGGAGTTGAGAAAAGGAGTATTAAGGACGAGAGAGAGAGAGTGTCATTGTGAGCGGAAAGAATAGAGAAAAGTACTTTGTATCGCTTCCTTTTTATATCTATATATTAATTATATATTGAGAAATTATTAATTAAATCTTTATTGGATTAGTTGAATGTATTGAGTTGCAAAGTGATATTCTTAGATAAGGATGAGAGAGAGAAAGAGAAAACATTTTAAGAGATTACCTAATAAGCTATCAAAGTCAGAAGCCCTACTTTTAGTGGTAATAATGGAAAATATCAATTTTATGAAATACCGTTCTTATTGCTATATTGTGAAAATATTGAAAGTGGAGAAAAGGATTGATAAGCCAGCGATGGGTGCATTTTTTGAGTTGAATAATCCTTGATTTCATTTGAAAACAATGAATATGCCGAAGAAGTGCCATATGAAGTAATTTATTTTTTGGTATGATATTCAAGCGAATTTTCGATGAAAGCAAAAGTTGTAAGAAATGTAGAGGAAAAACTGTATTTAATGACTTTTTTTGGATACAAGCTACTCTCCCAAAGACGAAAAATTACAATATAATTGAATTGCAATTTTCTGAGAATACCTCGATGAATTTTTTCCTTTGGATTCTCTGCATTGTAAAAGATTTTATTTATTGCTTACATGAGTTTAATAAAAAATACTTGTCTAATTACTAAAAACCGTGTGTTTTATGACTATTCCGATTCCACTTGAATTCTTGTGGAATTAAATTCTTGCTCTATGAAATTTAAGAAAATATTTGCTATTGAGAATTTGTATTATTCCTTGTATTCAGCAAATTATTCTTTGGTGTATTATCTATTCCATTTTAACAGACATTTCTCTTTTGAAGAGCATCGCCGATATATCGGGAATATCAACGGCCGATAAATCGAAATTCACTTTCGAAAAGTGGCGTCGCGTCATCGATATTCGCGCAGATGTCAAATTGTGCATCATAAAAAGTTGTTTACAAAATTTTATCGTGAGTTTTCTCAAATTTTCGCCATGGGTGGCTGTCGATGTACGTTCCAGACATGCGAGAACAACAGTGCCAACTCCCCAAACATGCACTTCTTCCACTTTCCCGCCAAGAAGACGGATTTGTGCAGAAAGTGGGCAAAGTTTGCCAATCGTGTTGAATTCATGTCTCTGCCGTTGGACAAGCTGAAGAACAAAGTCGTGTGTCAGATGCACTTCCGGACGGAGAGCTTCATGAACTACCTGCAGAACAGCCTCGTGAAGACGGCATATCCCACGCTGATGCGCTTCGAAGACGTCGTGATAGACTTGGAGAAGGATTCTCCGGAAGAGCAGGTAGCCAAGCTGTCGGATGCCAATCAATTGGTGATGAAGCTGGACGTGCCAGAGATGGAGGAGGGCGAGACGGCCCAGGACAACTTTGTCATTGACATACTGCAGAGCACCGAGGACGACATCAACATCTCACCAGGGGAGAATCTGATGATATCAAATGCGAGACAGAGTAACCAGCAGAACTTCATCTTTGAGCTTAATCAGGTGTTAGAGGACAAGGTGGTGACACCGAGGAAGGAGCACAAGACACCTGCGATACTCAATCCCGCGTACAAACAAGCCAGTCGCACCAAAGTGACCCAAAATGTGGGGTGCGTCGTGAAGAAGCCGCTGCGGAAGCCTGCGCCTCCGTCGGATGTGAAGCTCACCGCGCGCCAGGAGGTGCTGATGGAGATGAAGATGAAATCTGAACCAGTGCGTCAGACGGTCAGAGAGGTGATTGAGTTCGAGAGTCCAGACGTGGTGCCGCAAGAGCTGCCCAAGCAGCCTGAGGAGCCGAAGAGGGACGAAGCGCTGGAGTGCATGGCCAAGGAGCTGGGAGAGCTGAAGCAAATGGTGTTGGAGACTGTGAGCACCCTCAAGGCCGTCCCGCCGGCTCCTCCTGCGCCTCAGCCCACGTCCACGAGCACAGCCGAGAGCAGCAATGGTTCGAAGGGCGAGAAGAGCATGAACAAGTTGCAGTTGTTTAACGCCATCAAGCGATACCTCAATCCCTCCATGGTGGCCCTGCTGCGGATGGAGATGTTCGGCGGCATGGATCGGGAGTGGAAGCAGGACGAGAAGGAATTCTCCGTGGAATTGTACAATCTGGGTCTGAATGTCTATGAGTTCATGCGAGACGAGTGGAGATTTCGCCTCCCGCCCGAGAAGGCTGTCCAGAAGTGGGCCAGCGAAATGTAGTCGCATCCCAAGTCACGACTCTCTCAGTGGTAAACTCTACCAGACCGTTTATTATAGCAAAAGTAATAAAACAATATTCATAGGTAAGAAAAGTTACTTTTGCCAGCCGAATTTGTAGACGCAGAGATGCTGATAAGTCTCTCCTGGCTTCAAGATTGTCGACGGGAAGTTGTCCTGTCCGGAAGAAATGCATGAGACAAAAGTAATTGAAATATTCCGACAACAAAGAACTCACGTGATTCACGGCATCCGGGAATTTTTGGGTTTCGAAGCAGAACGAACCGTGCTTCTGATACAATCCTCCGCCTTTGCCGTGCAGCTTCGGCGATGCAGAGTCTTTGGGATCCGGCAGGAAGTTCGCCGTGTAGAATTGCACGCCAGGCTGATCGCTGTAGACTTCCAGGAAGCGCCCAGACGGCGGATGCACAGCTCTGGCCACGAAGGAATCTCCCTGGCTGTACTTGGTCACGCAGAAATTGTCGTCATACCCATTGGCTGCTGTGGCTTTGAAAGCCTCTCCGAGAGTCTTTCCAGAGCGCAAATCGAAGGCAGTTCCTCCGACTTCAAGGAGTTTTCCAGTAGGAATAGACTCACTGTCCGTCTCAGTGATTTTATCAGCATTGATGACCACGAAGTGTTTGTAAATCTCCTCATTTCCAGCATCATGACCGGCCAGATTGAAGTAGGAATGATTGGTGAGATTTACAGAAGTCAATTTCGATGTCGTGGCAGAGAAATTGATCTTCAGGGCGTCATCGTCGGTCAATTCGTAGCGTACTTGAACCAGCAAATCGCCCGGATAGCCCTCGAAGTCGTCCGGAGAGAAGTGACTGAGCACAAGGGCGTTGCCGTCCACGAAGCCAGTCCAGTTGAATTTGTCAAATCCAACAATTCCACCGTGAAGATGATGCTTCCCATTCCAGTTCTTGGCCACTTGGACATCCTTGCCGTCCAGAGAGAACTTCCCGTGAGCAATCCTGTTCGCCACTCGGCCAACAGTGGCGCCGAAATAGGGATTCAGAGGATTGAAGTAGCCCTCGAGAGAGTCAAATCCCATGACCACGTCCTGCAGAACTCCATTCTTGTCCGGAACTTCCACGGACAAGATTGTGGCGCCGTAACTGATGACCTGAACGGATAGAGAGGTAAGAAAATTCCTTAAAGCTTTCAACTCCCTCCCAATTTCACGTAGAAAACTGTAATCTTGAACGTAATTTCCTCCCCATTCATCAGCAAATACGACAAATACGCATTTGGAATTAATTACTCTACGAAAGACTAAATGATTAAAGTTCATTATGTTTGCAATATTAATGAATCTCACCTTGACTGAAACGCGACTCAAGGAGTTCCTCCATGTGTAGACCCAGACTGTCTCCTCCTTCTTCGTCACTGGATCCTTCACGAGTCCAAAACTGTCCACCGAGAGACTCACTGAGCTGCCCTTGTCCATTCCCATGCTGTAGAAATTCCTCTCACTCTCTGATCGTGACTGAGAACCTTCTTTCTGGATCACTGACACTTGTCCGGACTGCCTCGCCTGCGAATCGCGCTCTTCTGCTCGCTCAGACATTATCACAAACAATTTGCTTGATTATTCTCGCTTTCAAGAGCACCAGAGAGATAGAGAGAGAGAAAAAAGGTCGCTGTTCAAATTTACGAAACCTCTCAAGTGTAATTCAATTGAACTAATAAATGCATAACTAGGGAGAGTCGCGTTAATAAAGGAAAATTTTGACCCACAAAACCACATTGGACCCTTATCGTCGTATTTTTTTGGGCATTATAATGTTGATAGTTGAGTGGAAAGGTCACTGACCCGCTTCATATTTATAAGGTATTTTTATTTTGACTATCGCAAAACCACAGTCGCACATAGGAGGAATTCTGTGCCAAATTATCTAAGATTTTTGTTATTTGGAGAATTGGTATGGTTTTTTATTGCGCAAGCATTTGTGCGGTGCAAAATTCTTTTTTTTTAAGTAAAGTTTTTCAGAAGCAAGAAAACGTTTACATTAATTTTCAAGTTGGTTCATGAACCATGTCAGCTTATGATTTTATTTCACGGAGAGCAACAAACTGCTTACGAGAATAATGAAAATTCAGTTTATTAGGTTTTGGATATTTTATTCCACTTATTTTACAACTTATAGCAATTTCCGATAAAGTATAGAGTTAAGGATAAAGGCAGAACTCCAAGGAAGTTTTCTTCAACTGTTTTGATTTGAAATGCTATCTGTTGAATAAATTAAATGGATAATTTGGATGCTGGAACTTCATAAATTCACTGATAATGTTTATATGAGAGCTATTTTGGGTTTTTCTAGGTCAAGACTCAATCATTTTGGGTGGGAAAAGTGCTGAAATGTGTTTACCTTATCCGCAGGTACACTATTATTAATTCAATTTGACTCATCAATAAAATATCACTCAGATATACTGTATCGCTCATGGGTTGAGTCAATCAGCCAAAAAGTCATCTGAAATATTCAGTCTTCGCGATGTGACAGGGTCAGAGTGATAGGAAGTAATTACCCTTTGACCTCGATTTTCTAAGAAAGTATTCTATTTCCATGGAAATGTCCTGCACTTAAGATGTTTGGGGAAGAAATATGTGGTGAGACATTTATTGTCACTTAGCAAATATGTTCACTAAATTGATATTGCTAGCGAGAAATATGACGCAATTGCAGATTCACGAGATTTATCACTTCCTAACAAATAAATTTTCAGTGAAAAGCGTGTCAATTGCAGCGTTTTTCACTCACACTCTCCAGGTTGGAGTGCTGAACAGGTCTTGTGTGCCGTATTCCACGTTATCGATTATCAATACTTCATATAGTAAGTTCACCTCCGGTTGTGTGTGAAAAAGCGCGACGTGCTCACGCTTTTCTGCCCACAAATTGACTGACACTGCTTTTGTGCCGCAAAATAAATAGTTTTTCAAGGAAGATATCGCTAAAACACTCCAGAGTTAATGTTGTGGCAAAACTGGAAACATTGTAAGTTAAAGTGAGATAAGATCCAGCCGTCGAAGATGAATATCGTTGAGAATTCAATAGATAAGGTCTGGTTTTGTAGAATACATATAATGCTAAAATGCTTGATAGCCTCATTAAGTGCGTCATAATCTTATTCAGGCACGTATTTTTGTTAGCATAAACCGATTAAAGTCGCGTATCTTATCTCAAATTACTATTCGCTCGTTCAAATCTGTCTCTGCGCTCACTCTCTCTCTCTCTGTCCCTCTCTCTTTGTATAGTGTGTGTAGGGGAGAGATGGGCCACGAGCTCGCTGCTGGTCATTCAAAAGTCCAACCGATTTTATCACTTCCTTTTGCAATCATTATAAAAGCAATTTTTCGCCGTTGATGGCATTTTGGCAAGCTGGAATAATTGCTCAAGATGCCTCTGTTGTATCATAATTTCTTCGCACAGAGGCACTTCTTGATAAATTGCCGCACATTAACTCTTTTTTGTGTCCCTCCTCCGAGCTCGCCATGGGCATTCGCTGGCACTGGGATCAGCCAGTGTCCGTCCACACATAACCAGCAATCGATATGGCTTGAGGAGATGGCATAAAAGCCACACGAGCGGCGATCAGCGGGTTCGGCGCTACGGGCACATAATTTAATTATTCAGTTATCGCAACTCACTCTCGGTGAATGGTTGAAAAATCCGCGAAGACAGAATGAACAGTGCCAAAATTCATTTCTCTGGTACATCAATTTAAAACGCAGTGCAGTGTTATAATAGGAGTGACATGAGGGAATGGAAAAGCTCTGCACTCGACCAACTTTTTCAATACTCTCCATCAGCGTAATTGGTTCACGTGCGCGCATTTGACGGAAAATAGATGGAAAAGTGTGTTCTTGAGTGAATAAAAGTGGTGTTTCACGGCTCCCTAATCATCACTGCGATACAAATTATCTCTCTCTCTCTCTTTCTCTCTCTATTTCCTTCACAACTTAATTGACTGTGTAGAAAATTGTATATAGATTTGTTTTTGAGCTCCCGCAGTGTTGCGTTCGCTTTTACTCAAAGTTCCCGCACTCGCAAGCGTTCTCGCGCCGATGGTGAATGATATTTCCCGCCAAAAAGGCCCAAATGGGCCCAATTGAATGCCAGTGATATGCTCAGACGCGGCGGATTGCGCTTTCTGCACAGGAAATTGGGCTTCTTCGGTCTGATAGTGTCAACTGTGATCTTCATCTTCTACACACTGACCATCCTGCCGCCCGTGGAGCAGAAAGTGAGGCGGAAAGTCGCACCGGTCGAAGCAATACTCAATTTCTCGCAAAGCGACTTCATGAGCCATTCAGACGCCCTCTCAACTGCATTCGAGGAGCACTATTTCAATCTGAGCGTCAGCAATTCACTCTCCAGCGGACGTGACATTCCGGACACACGACCACCCAGGTGAAGTGACAAAAAGGGGACAGAAAAAAAGCTTATAATGTATTGATTGATTAGTGTGCTGAAAATCTTACGAATGGTCATTAAAATTCTACCATCCGTACACCAGGAAATATTCAGTTAATTATAGGATTCATTGAGAGATTATTTTAGTATGCTTTTGACCTTTTGACTATTGCTTCAGCAATGTATGATCTTTTTTGTGTATTTCTGTGTGCTTTATTGCAGATAAGCTTCTTTTTTATAATTGCAAGTTTTTGCGGAGTTGGTTTTTGGGGGCAGATTCGATTTGAAAATTATCTCAAATTGTTATTGAGGAGTTGTAATATTTCCTCTAGTCAAAATTTATTTCTGCTGACTTTTTTTCTAGGCGCCTCAATAGCAAATGGTTGATTAGAAGTTAATCACAATTTCAGTATATTTGGCATATGCGATAAACATACTAATTAATTATATCAATAAATTATTCACAACAGTTCCTCATTAGAATTCACGGCGCGAAAACTATGCGCGGCAAAAAGAATGTGACAAAGACAGTGTCTAATGTGATAATTTACTATTATTGAATTACGGTGTGGAAATCTCTTTAAAAGAAGCACCATAGGTGACGCTTTAGTGTGGAAATAGTACGTCAATTTCCCATTAAAACATATTGGATTTCCGGAGAATCTTGCCACCCTCGTCGCTGATTAAATGCCAGAGTCGCGAAACTAATCTTATCAATGCTCGTTATAGATGCAGAGCGAGGGAATACGTGCTGAATGCCAAGAAGAATGTATCTGTGATAGTGGTGTTCCACAATGAGGCCAAATCAGCTCTCTTAAGGACAATTTCCAGTGTAATCAATCGCACACCACCAGATTTGCTCCATGAAATCATACTTATCGATGACTTCAGCAGAAATGGTGAGACTCAATTCAATTCCATATGAACTGATGATTTTTCAAATCAAACGCTTGCAGGACTCAGTGCGAATATTCTAGAGAATCTGCCAAAAATTAAGTTGTACAGAAATCACGAGCGAGAAGGTAATTGCCAATGATTTTCGGCGCGTGTTTGCAAGAGGTCAATTCTCAAGGAAATCTTGGTTTTTTTTCTGCTCAGGTCTCATCCGATCACGGAAGATTGGAGCTCTGCACGCTTCTGCTGAGTACATCGTCTTCCTCGACAGTCACTGCGAGGTGAATGTGGGCTGGGTTGAGCCACTCATCGACAGGCTCTCTTATCACCCCGGAGCGCTTGTCAGTCCCATTATAGACATCATCGATGCCTCCACCTTCGAGTACAGAGCCACAACGACCAACTTGAAGGCGGGCTTCGATTGGAGTCTGAGATTCAAGTGGATTCCCCGCTCCGACGAAGAGCTCCACACCGTCCAGGACGAGACGTCCTCATTCGCCAGTCCAACTGTGTATGGTGGCATTTTCCTCATCTCCCGCCAGTGGTTTCATCAGCTCGGCGGCTTCGACAGTAATCTCGAGATCTGGGGCGGAGAGTCCCTGGAAATCTCCCTCAAGGCATGGATGTGCGGTGGTCAAGTGGAAATCGCTCCGTGCAGTCGAGTTGGGCATGTGTTCAGGAAGAAGCACCCATACGACTTTCCCCGCGGGAGCACTTACACCTTCTTGCGCAATTCCAAGCTCATCGCCGAGGTGTGGTTGGACGAGTACAAGCACTTTTTCTACTTTGCCCGTCCAAATGCCCAGAGCATTAAGATTAAAGACACGAAAGATGCGGCGACCCTTAAAGAGAAGCTCCAATGCCGCACTTTCTCCTGGTACCTCCAGACCGTCTTCCACGAGCTCAAGTGAGTATCTCTCTCGCCCGCGGCAGAAAGCATCTCACATTTCTCGCCCTCGCGATAAAGTACCTCGCATTAAGGATGAATATCACCCATTATCCCACAATTTCTCTTGCACGTGACTCTGATTTCTCAATTATTCAATTAAATAATATCCCTCCCGCTGGATTATGGCGTTTTTTGCGTAGAATTACAGCCAAAAGTAACACAAAAAATATGCTGTGATGCCTAAATGTTATTAGTTTAATAAACATTCACATCACAGAGAGCGAAAGAGAGCTCACAAATCCCAGCCAGAAACATCCATTTAATGGGGTTTGTGGTGCAGATTTATTGAGATTTCACCAGTAGAGAAAAACGGCGGGATTTTTTTACTATCTCACAATATTATCATTATGCGACAGAAATAGTTCAGTTGAGACTTTGAAAAGTTACGCCAGAGAATCAATGATATTACTCATATTCTTACTTTCAGTTGTTTGTGCTTAAAAGAGCGAAACCTCCTTGTAATTTGGATTTAATTTATAGATGTATTTAATTTTCTTACCAATGCACTTTAAATTTAGCTTCATTTAACTACACTTTCTGGCTACGCTCATGATTATCGCCTTTAATTTAAAGTTCTCCGTCTCTCTCTCTCTCTTTGCACTTTCAGACTTCCCAATGAGGAGCACATCGCCTTTGGTGAGCTGAAGCACGAGGACCGCTGCCTCTCTGTGACGACAGACAACAGTCGCCAGAGACACATTCAGTTGGCAAATTGCTATAGCCACAGAGAGACCACAAAGTGGGCCCTCCATAACTACACTGGCGCTCTGAGTCCTGACTCGGGCGGTTGCGTCAATGTGTTCCAGAGTCTGGTCATTCTGGAGTACTGCCGAAATTCACCAGCCCAGCGTTGGTTGCGAAACGGCGGCAATTTAATGCACGCCACAACGGGTAAATGCCTAGAGAGTCTTGTTGGACCAACCGTGGCTGTGTCGGCTTGTCGCCACGGATCTCAATCGCAGCTGTGGAGTTTCTCCGTGGAAGTGCAGCACCAATAGCTACTTAAAATATAACTATGTACCTCTATTTATTCACGTGCAGCGGCTCTTTGTCCTTAAAACCACATCGCAGCGACTGCAAACGATGTCACCGGGACTGAGAGCGAATCTGCGACATCGGGGACAAAGAGGAGACTCGCTGATGTCCATATGGATTTGACATTCAGCATTGTCCTCAAGCTTAGTCAATTGTACGGTGGAAACTTGTAGAAGTTCACTCAATTGAGAGCCAAACGAGTCTTCACCATTCTCGGGCTGGAGTTTCTGCAAATAAAGTCACAGTTGAGATATTGAATAGCAATTTCCCCATTATCATTCACTCTCACCCTCAATGATTCGTAATCGATGGGATTACACAGAATCTTGACATTTAATTTCCATGTGTTTGTCTGAGTGGTTAATCTATTGAGTGCCTCCTTGAGCTGTAGACATTTCTCAATCACCGCCTTAGCCTCCTCGTCCGCCCACGATGCTGGAGGTGTGCCAATTTTCTGCTGTCCGAAGGGTGCATCGCCGCTAGAGTGGCTCCAGCACTCCTCAACCACGAACGGTACAATTGGCCACAGTGCCTTGGCCAATAGCATAAAACACGCATTCATTGTCTGCTGAATCCTGCTGTACTCAGCATCGCTGCCACAGTAGAGGCGATCCTTGCACAAGTGGAGATAAATGCTGGACACTTCATTGGCGACAAAATTGAGAATTGCTGATACTACGCGATTATACTCATATGCATCGTAGAAATTGAAGATTGAATTATGGAAATCCCGCAGTTTGCCCAGAAAGAATCTGTCTAAGAATGTGAACTTGCTGAGATCTTCTGGGAAATCACGTTCCTTCATCTGTCCACAAACTCCAATCAAGTAGCGCAAAGTGCCACGGATCTTGTGAACATTCTCAGCCGATGCCTGGAGGATATTCTCACTCAGGAGAATGGAAGTGTGCTGAGTACCGTGCGCTGCAATCCACCAACGCATCGTGTCAGTGCCATACTTCTTCACGATGTCTTTGGGGTGGATAACATTTCCCAGACTCTTGGACATCTTCTGACCCTTTTCGTCCAGCACAAAGCCATGCACGAAGATGGCTTTATAGGGAGCTTTGCTCCTCACAGCCACACTCGTCATGAGAGATGATTGGAACCATCCAGTGAACTGATCAATGCCCTCAAGGTACAAATCGGCAATTTTATCACCCTCCAGAGCATGTGACCAGGTTATTCCAGAATCAAACCATATATCCAGAATGTCCATGCCTTTCTCCAGTTCTTGGGTGCTTTCTGGGAGGAGTTCCTGCACAGATTTCTCCCACCAGAAATCAATATTTCCATTCTTCATCGTTTCCTCGCACATTTTCTCCACAATAGCCTTCGAAGTCACAACTTTCTTCGAGCTTTTTTCATAGAACACAGGAATCGGAACGCCCCAGGCTCTCTGACGAGAGATGCACCAGTATGGTCTCTTTTGCAGCTGTGTTATCAGCAAATTTTTACTAGCCACTGAATTCACCCTCGGGAAAATGCTAACCTTCTCAATCTCTTCAATTGCTTTCTCTTTAATCTTATCAGTGTTGATGAACCATTGATCACTGGCGCGAATGATGATGGGCTCTTTTGTTCGCCAGTCAATTGGATAAGAGTGTTCTATTTCCCCAAGATGCACTATTAAGTCTTTGGCTTTCAGGTACTCAAGCACTGTTTGAGATCCTTCCTTCAGGGCGTTTTTGTGTCTCAAGAATTCTGGTGATGTGTCTGTGTAATTTCCCAGTTCATCAACGAAACACTCCGTGGGTAGTTTTTGCTGCATTCCCACCAGAAAATCTTCAAATCCGTGAGCCGGTGCTGTGTGAACAAGGCCAGTTCCCTTCGCTGAAGACACGTGCGACGCTGAGAAGAAAGGTAACTCCCGATTTTCGACTATGGGATGCTGATATTGTAATCGACTTAGCAGTTTTGCGTCAATTTTGCCCATAACTTCAATCGGATTAGGGAAGATTCCTCTGTTTTCTTCCAATAAATCCGCAGCTATTATGTAACAATCTGGCGAATCTTGCACTCCAACAATGCAGTACTCCAATTCACTGTTGAAGCAAATTGCCTGGTTTGAGAGCAAAGTCCAAGGAGTTGTTGTCCACACCAAAGCCCAGAGATTCCTGCCTCCGGCTAAGCTTTCAATTTCTGGCAGACTTGTTTTCACTGGGAGTCTCAGATATAGCGAAGGACTCTTGAAATTGTTGTCATACTCAAGTTCAGCCTCTGCGAGGGCAGTTCTTGAGGATGGTGACCAGTAGACAGGCTTCAAGTCTCTGTAGATCAGTCCACTTGAATACATGTCGAAGAACACCCTCAGCTGATTGGCAATGAACACGGGAGAGGTGGTTTTGTAGTACGCATTCTCATTCTTCCAGTCAGCAATGACTCCCCAGGAGTCAAAGCCTGCTTTCTGTTTCTGAATGGTCTTCAGGGCGAATTCACGAGCCTTCTTTCGGATTGTCACTGCATCTGATGAAGAATCCCCGGAGAGAGCTTTCAACTCTATTGGGAGACCATGACAATCCCATCCAGGAATGTAGTGCACTTTCCTTCCTCGAATCACGTGGTGATGGTTTGTTATATCCTTCAAGATCTGCAAAGACAATTGCTCCGTGTAAAGCGGAATCCCAAGAATTCTTCATGAATCGTACCTTGTTTATCGCATGCCCCATGTGAAGATCTCCATTGGCGTACGGAGGACCGTCGTGCAGGACAAACGCCGGTGACTGAAGATGTTCATTCTGCCATCTATAGAGAGGCCGGAAGCATCGCTGGAAGGCAGGAAATATTGCTATTTTGAGATAAATCGATCATTTCTCAGAACATAAACACACTCCCTAACCTCATTTATTTCACTCTCAATTGAGAGGCGCTTTTTGGCTTCCAGACGCGCAGGAAATTGCGTTTTCGGCAAGTTTATGGTGTCTGTGTACTTCACTTTTGCCTTCCCTTCACATTTTGCACTGTAAAGACGAATTTGCCTCAAATTTCTGAACATTTTCCCACAATTGCACATGCACTTCTCATCACTAGACTGAAAAGTTTACTGATGAAATCTTCGCGAACATTTCATTTCGCCGTTATTACACTTTTACGGAAAAAATTACCAGATTTTACATAATAATTCTCGTAGATAAAGCCTCAAAACATTATGTAAATCATGTAAATATTTAATTCACATCTTGAACACATTGAATTCAATGGGAATTATTGATTCGTGCAATCACACTGCATTGGTCGATATGTTGAGACTTTTGGCTAAATTTTTCACAGTGTAGAAGAAGAATCCTGATATTACATGTTCTCTAGCTGTATTTATTCACTAATCAATTAATTCTCCACTTTCACGCCTTGAAGATATCCGTGATATTCACATTTGCCGATTCCTGTCTCTCCTGCCTCGTCTTTGCCTCTGTGAAGCTGGAGAGAAGCCCAGAATCTCCTCTGTTGAGCTTTTGCTCCTGAATCACTTCCTCCAGCTTTATCTGTGCTGTCTCTAGTATCTTCTCCTCCGACAGTGCGCCGTCCTCCTTCAGCTTGTTGTAGATCTCAATGAACGTCTGGCAGTGAGTTTTATTCTTTGTATCTGACAAAGTTACCATTCCCTGAGTCTTGGAGAACTTGTGAAACTTCCTGCAAAATTTGCCATTTTGAGTGTAGGAATTTTGGGCGATTCTGGCCATGACTTACGCTCGAACAACATCCTCCGGGTAGAAGATATCTCTAATTTCCGTTTTTGGGGCCGGTCTGTCGTATCGGGGCTCCTCCTTGGGTGGAAATGCCTGGTAAATGTCGTACCAGAGAGGCTTGTCTTCCGGCTTGATGGCACCGGTTCTTAGAAGACCGGTTGTTCTGCAAGACGAAAGACCCTTATGAAATCTGATTCCCTGCACTCTCTGGATGCCCAATAGTACCTTGTAAAGATCGTTCCTATTTTCTCTAACCGGCTGTGTGCCATTTTCCACGAGGTTTTCCAAAACACGCACTTTTGACGTCCACACTCTGCTGAATCGAGAGAAAATTCTGCTAAATATCGATTTTCGAACGATTAATTTTGAATGGATAAAATTGTATAACGGCCACACCCACATGAAATTGGGGATTTTTCCTGGAATTCCCGGATATTATATGATTTTCTGGGATGGTTACGGCAAAATCAATGATTGCGCATAACGATGCTGGGCTGGCAACAATGTCCTGAAGGGACAGCGATGGATTTTAATGTATAACACACGATTTATTCCTCTTTGGCAATTCTACTTTTTACATCTGTCGATAAAATATCCCTTTTTATCGTCACAATTTTTTTTCCGCGCCAATCAGGAGCAGGGAATGGCAGGGAGGAGCCGGGAAATGCGGGGGAGTTGTATATTGCTTTGAGGAATTTATTAAAATTGCATTCCGCACGCCAAAGACTTCCGCGCCCAGGCAATAATTGCGATTTGATATTGCAGCAGTCATCAAAGGCATTACATTAAATATTTACATACAGGGTGAATGTGGGGGAATGTAATTTTATTTTTTGCATAAAACAGGCGTGAAAATATCTTAAATCTCCGAGAGAGTATCGCTGCGTGGTGATATACATCATCGGCGGGTGCGCGCGAGGGGTTGGCGAGGAGGGGGCGTTCGTGGGGCTCCGCACGCAGCGTGTAGGAGAGCGCCTATAGCCAGCCTCACGATAAACACTATGTGCCCATGTGAGAGTGTCTGAAGAGACTGGCGCAGACATCACCCACAATCCACAATGAACGCGGCGTGCAAAAAGGTAAGAGATCCATGAGCAGATTTTCCGTTCGCTCAGTTCTTCACTTGCCTCCACACCGAATGGTTCCGCCGCTCTCGCTCGTGACTACTCTGGCCTCTCCAGTTCCGTGACTTGTTTCGGGTGGGACGGATGCTTCAGCATAGAGTGACAAGCCAGAGGAATCCCAGTGAAGAGGACTCGGAGTGCGCATTGACGGTGAAAAAGTGTGTGCTGCTGTAGTCCTTCAATTTCGCCCAGTGACAAATTAATCACCCACACTTTCGGGCGATACTCTCGTCGGCCAGGAGAATTTCATCATCGGAGCCTCGCGAAAATCGCTCTGCATTCGCGCCAAAATTCCTCCAGCCAGTACAGCGCGGATTCGACAAGAATCCAATACCCGTGAATTAATTAATTAATTTTAATTGCCGCACACAATTTATTGTCAGTGCCTGCGAACAGCATTTTGCGTGACTTCATCCCGAAGGGAGGCGCCCCAGATGAGCCTTGACGGTCTTCTGGGTGATCGGGATTCCCAGGCAGCTTTATTAATAGACGCGCTTCTTGGACATGTTTTCCGTGCGCGCGAAAGAGGAACAATTTATTTGTGATTTTTTCGCGTGTGTGACACTTTAAATTAGAATATAAAACGCAAGTCTAGGCGCGATGGGACAAAGTGTCTCTGGCAGATTATGTCCCATTAATTTTTACGAGACTGTTAAATTAATTTGCTGCTAGTTAAAATCTACCTCAAGAAAAGAGTTATTGTGATGCTGGGCGTGTGAATCGGACGTTATATAGTTAAATGGGAATGTAATTGTTGATTCTTTAATGTATGGGCTTGAATTTTGGAGGCAAAAGTCAGGAAATTCATCATCCACTTATGGCTTTTGATTAGTGCTGGAGGGTAAGTTAAGGATCACAAAGCCTTTCATTTGCATTTTGTGCCGCAGAAATTAGTGAAGGAGTGAAGCGGCAAATTAAAGTGTCGACATTTGATGCCCGACCCCAATTTGATAACATCCTGAGTAATCCCGAAATTCCCCTAAGACCAGCATCACCCCTTTTGTCTGCCACACGATAGTTGTGAATTCTTACGGCGAGAGCCGGCGGAAATGAGGGACCTGAAAAGGGATCAGAATAACTCCACTCCTGGATGGTGTGAAGTGGGCATGCCTCTCTAGAGACGTCCTCGGGATGTGTAAAGTTTTCTCGTGTGGTGATTAATATTAATTTGTACCAATTATTAAGCTGCCGAGCGGCGTCTTCGGCGCGGACTTATTGGCAGTTAACAGTAAAATATGGCCATGCAAAATTCCCCTCTCGTCATTTTATGGAAATGCGTGTCTCATTGAATTAGTTCCTGCCCACTAGTTGAAGCGCACCCGGCACGGGGGAGCCGCACCCCTCCCATGGGGCGCCCTTGCGTGCCCGAGGCACGCATGCATGGGCGTTAGGAACGCTCTCAGCCTGCGACCCACTGCGAACAAGTGTTTAAAGTTCTCGCCACTACAGCCCATGCGAGAGGAAGCGCTTCCTATGGGCGGGGGCGGAAGGCATGAGGGTCGTTTTTCTCAACGGCACGCAGGGATTATTCGTTGTGGGGCTGCCTCTTCGCCACTGAGATGCCTATCTTACAATTCTGTTGATATTCACCGTCTCATTGTGGCGTCTTTTTTGCCTGACAAGGGCAGCATAGTTATCCGGAAGCACTGTACACCTCCGCAAGGAAATCACCTTAAGACGACTCACAGGAAATTAGTAGATTTTTTTCGCACTGTCAGGAAAGCGCGTCTCGTCAGCTCAGCGGTAACTCTATCCATATAGCGCCTTGAGCGATTTCACTACGCGTGCTCAGAATCACTTATTAGCACCTCTTGCATAATGTTTGGGATGAAAATGAAATTTAGAGAATTCGACAAAATTTATTGACTCAGCAGTGGCTCTGGAGCATGCGGGCACTTTCTCGTTTTTATTAGAAAAACACGATTTCAAGCGAGATCGCGCTTGTGGGTATTAAAATAAATAAATATTGAGTAATGGCGAGAAGGTGGAAATGATCGCGCTGGCTTAGAGAATGTTCTCGGGTTAGTTGCAAGTGTTTCATTTTTTTATAGGCAAAAACAACAAGAAGCGCTGTTGTTTAACTTTGAGTGAAAGCATTCTTGCGCAATTAAAGTCAGTAAAGAATGATAATATGGTTTTTGGAGTGAACCACGTGCAATCAGCAAAGTTTCCCATTATTTTCAATTACAGGTCCTCTAAGATTCAAGAAAAAGCATGTTCCTGTTTTATTCCTCTCAGTGTGTCATTAATAACAGTGAGTTTGCAGAGTATACTCTTAAATATTTAATGACATAGCATTAAACGTTACTTGGGAAAAGTTTCAGCTCTCCAGCGACAAAAAGATTAGTGAAAAGCTGTCAAACTGTTTTCTAAATTTCCACTGCTAAAAACTATAACTCACGGTTTAATATAGTGCGGATAGAAACTTACTTTATGACTGCTAGAGTCAGTGGTAAACAACAAGTTTTACAGGCACTTTAGTCAAGAACGAATTTACTCGAAGCCCTTTTGACTTTCGTGTGGCTTTTAAACAAACTTCATATCGAATAACTTTTTGAACTGCACCTAGTACATATTTCTATTACATTATCCGCTACTATTGACCTGGTAAGGCATATCTGAGAGAAAATATCTTTTCCACGTCTCATAAATTTTTCTGCCACGAAAAACTCCGTCGTGATGCCTTACAAGACACATTGAGGATGTGTGATGTCAAACGGAGAATAAAAATTTCCTCCGCATGAATATTAAAGCTGTGTGAGAGGAAAAGTTGCACAGATGTACACCTTCTACCCTCAAATATCTGGCTCTTGCTCGTCGCACGCACTCGAATTATCCCCCCGCAGAGTGTGCGTTTTCCGCATGATTCTTCTGGGGTGTTTCCGTCTGACCCACGGAATGATTAAAAGCTATGACAATAATGATCACCATTTCTCGTGGAAATAAAACGCAAATAAAATCCTCGCCTCATTAAAAGTGAATTGTACATTTTGCTGTTTAATTGATGTGGCTCGCAGGCGCACAAGAATATCTGTTTTTGTGTGTTTTTGAATAAAAATAGATCAAGTGTGTGGCATATTTTTCCAGCGATTCTCCTCGCTGGCTCGGATGATGGATTTTGCTGGGTGGAAGGGGGAAAGCCTGGCCCGACGAGCGGTACACTGTGCTCTAAAATATTAATTTTTATGCTAATTTCTCACCCATCGTGAGAAGGACACCCCTTTTGCAGCGCACCAGATATGAGTTGTAATGGGACGGATGGGACCCTCCAGTGAAAAGTTATAATTGTGAATTAATGCGGCTGAAAATGTTTATTCACTGCCAGTCTAAATTAATTACCGGGAAAAAGTGACGATCAGTGGATGAGCTGCTAGGCGGCGCGCGAGTGTGGGTTGAACAAGAGGAGAGACAATAGACATCCTGTAGCAGGGCAATTTTCGAGCCATAAAACAACACTCGGCGAGGAGCCAGTGGGCGGAGGGCCACCCAAGTCACACGTCTACGTGAGGAACGTGCAGCCGGAGACAATGGCGACGACGACGGACCCCGCAGTGTGGACAAACGTGTCCATGGTGCCCGTCAACGAGTCCTACTTCGACGAAACGGAGTTGATTGTATCGCGCGTGGTGCCGGTGTTCTTTGGGGTCATCGGCATCACTGGCCTGCTGGGCAACATCCTCGTGGTGCTCGTGGTGGTATCCAATCCAGGGATGCGCTCCACCACCAACCTCCTCATCATCAATCTCGCCGTGGCGGATCTGCTCTTCGTCATCTTCTGCGTGCCCTTCACCGCCACAGACTACATGCTGTCCATGTGGCCCTTCGGCGATTCTTGGTGCAAGGTGGTACAGTATCTCATCGTGGTCACAGCTCACGCCAGCATCTACACTCTCGTCCTCATGAGTCTCGATCGCTTCCTGGCCGTGGTGCACCCGATCGCCAGCATGGTGATTCGAACGGAGAAAAACACCATTATGGCAATTAGTGTTCTCTGGTTCCTCATCCTCAGCACCGGAATTCCTGTTCTCTTCGTGCATGGCGTGCATGTGAGTACCTCTCTTCAGCATCCTCCTTTTGCCAATATATTTTAGCGATTTTCTCAAGTGGAAGTAATGCAATATGAACCCATGAAGCGGCAATACCTTGAATTCGCACATTCCCACCCACTCACCTTACATAATTAATTTATTTCTCTCTCCTGAACTCCCTCTAATATGCGCGCACTATAAACAATACAATCTTCACGAGTACCCAATGACGATAGTTTGTGTATAATCAAATTTCGTCGTATGTTTAATTACATTTGAGAACGGTGACAGTGACGAAAGAGAACAGAAATTTGACAGAAAAAAATACAATTAAAAGTTTAGGTTTAAACCTTTTAGCACGAGATAGAAAGTTGTTTGTGCGATAAACGTATTGAGAAAAAAGATGTGCTAATGGACATTTGTATGTTGCCAATTTATGTAGTAAATGCAGGAAAGTTTCAAACTCAAAGTTGCCATATTTTCCTGCGCTATATGTATAGTTACATGGGCTACTGGCGATATTATGGAGATGCAGAGCGTGGATATTTAATTACGCCTGGGTTTTTCACCTGCAATTTGGCACTGTCGCTTAACCATTTGAAAAACAGAGTGTTCTCCACAGAGACAATAATGGCGTAATATTGAAATGAGACAGCCTGGCTTTGAAGGTGTGCATGTGACATTATTTGCTAGTCGTAGAGTGGAATAAATTTGATGTAAATCACAGTGGAAACTCAATATAACTTCCAGGAAAATCTGCAGTCTTAATAATTTGATTCAGGGGAAAATTAACTAATTGAGCAAATTACTAATATATTTTCGGCATAAATCACAGAGAATTTATCAATTATTCACGGTAATATCCAGATTCGCCAAATAACACTATAATTAATCGGACTTTAAGTTTGGAGACAACTGCCTTTAAACTTTCACAGCTGAATTTCTCCAAGAAATAATCATTCCACACCTGCAGAGAGAACACTAAACTCAAGATAGAGAATTCAATTGCAAAAAAAGAACTTTCTTTATAGCTCAATTTTATTCGCAATGACTAGCTTTCAGCAAGATACAGTTTGAGCTTTTAATTTGCAAGCTCTACGAGACAGAGAGAGTGCGGTGTCTCTTGGGGGGAGGGGGAAGAGGAGATTGTACTTAAACTTTCAAATGATAATTGCAAAGTTTAGCTCTTGTCATCTAAACTTTACTTCTTTATTTCTTGGCGAATTCCTCAGTCCAAGACAATATCATACGTCGTAGAGCAGAGAAATGTTCTTATACAAAAATTGTGAGAGTATGGAAGAATAAGAAAATTGAGAAAATTATTTATTCTGCCAAACAGCCCCCATATAGTGTTTGATCTTCTGTGGATTGCTTGCTTATTCAATTGTGGATTACAGAGTTTGCAACACATCAATTATATGAGAGCGTTTTCTGGGATGGGAGAAGAGCTTGTGAAGAATTCAGTGGAAATTGAGACAATACAGTTGGTTCAATTCCAATAATACTCTCGAGCGCCAATTGAATTATTCTCGCGCGGCGCATCATTGAGGGGCCTTTTTTTATGGGGAATCGCTCCCATGGTGTTTTTTTGAAAGACGGCCAGATTTGTTGCGATAGTAGCCGAAAGCACTTCCATCTGCTACAATGTCTGAATTACACCTCAAATGAAATTATGAATAACCATCAAGACAAACTTCTTAATCCACTTTCACACGGCAGATCATCAAATATCCCTCGAGTGATTTTATCTTATTAAGGACGGTGGTCATTTATGCCTCGGGCTCACTCGCTCCGCAAGTCTGGGGCAATGTAATAATAATAAAGTGAGACGAGGCACGTAACTACACACCAGTCACATACAGAAATGTTGAAGCTTTTCTCCCTCATGTCGGGCTTTTCTTCATTTTTTGCGTGCGTCTCGTGAGGGAGCAAAAAAATGGTGAAAAGAGTGCCGAAGAAATATTGCCCCTGCTTAAAATTTCAATACACAATTATCCTCCGGCCATGAGTTATTCATGACTGGCACAGTGGATAATGTGTGGTGGTTCTCCAACAAAACCCCGTTTAGTGGGACATTCTCTCCCCCTTACCAGCATCAAGCGAAAAAAGAACAGGATTTATAACACCCTCCGCCACGGGGCGCGTAATGTATTAAAGTGTCATAGTGTGACGTGGGGTCACGCATTATTTAAGTGTAGCCCTGGGAAATCTGCATATTGAAATGTTTTCAGCCACACCATGAAAATGCTTTTTTATGTCTTCTTGTTCCCACTGTTGCCTGATGAATTCCTCCGGCGGGGCTGGCGGTTGAGCATTTTCACACTTTACAAGAAATTAATATCTCTCCCCCGCCCTTGTGCGCCGCGCCACCTTTTCTCTCCCATCCGATCTTCTAAATAAAATGTAAAATGATATGTTTGCTTCACTCAAATTAAATATGCTCTGTCTTATCCCTATCTTAGATCCTCTCACTGAGACATTTACAATGGCAAAAAGGTTCCTCGCTTGTGGGTGGGATACACCAACAGATTAAATCCTATGCTGTAATCTCATGTTCTTGCATAAATTTGCTCAATTTCTCGGCTCTCATGTTCGTTTTTAGAGAAAAAATACATATGTATATGTCAAACTTTTATCTCATAAAACATACAAAATAATGTAACAATTTTTCCCGACAAGATTCCGCTGAGTGGAGAAGATTTTTTTTTAACTGTAGCCTCAAGTGTTTCAAAGAGATATTTTCTCCGCAGACACGCAAAAAGATGGAATTACTCTGACTTGGGTTGAAATTTGAAAGAACTTCTCTGTTTGCCTTTCAATTGCTTGTATACTTTTGTGAGATACATATTTCCATCGGAAAAGAAAGCCTTTAATTCTCATTGATATAAATATTGAAACTCCGAGTGAATCCAGAAATAATTCACGATGGCAATTGAGAAAATTATCTGTGTGCTGAAAGGGAGAAGTAATGCTTCTGAATTCTCAAGATTGCAAATCAAGCTGAGGTCATAAATTTTCTTCATACACTTTCCAAATTGGCTTCTAAATGAAAATATTGAAAAGTTTCTTCCTAGTTATTGGTGATGCTGCGGAAGTTGGAAACTTGATGGGAGTTCTTAGCATGGCAAACAACGAAAACAACAAGTTTGACTTTTCTGCATAATTGAAATGCATGAATATCAAATACGCAGATCTTCTTCCGAATCAGATGATGTAAAGTTAATGGCAGTCAAATTCAACCAGAAATGTTGCATAATTTAACTTGAGAGCTTACTCATTTGCAATAAGAAAGCCAATTGCAGAAGGCATTTTGCTCGCAATAACTTAAAGGACAAACAAACTTTTGAAGACGAGTTCAGAAGTGGTTTTCTTACGCTATATTGAAGCAAACGGGCATAAGGAAGCCAAATAGAATTAAAAGTGATATCAAGTTCCATTAATTATTAAGTGGAGATGTTCTATCAGAAAGCTTTTCACTGTCTATAGAATTTTTCTCCAGCTGCAGTACATAATTCAGCGTTTTTTCTCCCCAACTCACGAGAGGAATGATTCACGTATCTCGACTTTTTGCCTAACTTGTGTCTTTCGGAACTTCTCTACTCAAGCTTTCAACTTCTGTAAATCAACAATACCCAGGGTGTCGACGATAGACAGTGTTGATGAGGGGCTGAAGGGTGTGTGGAAAATGAAGATTATATTTTGCATCAAAGTTTCTTATCCATCTTGAATATCTCTTTAATCATCCAGCTGTCGCTGTAATATTATAGCTCTTATACTGCTGAGGAAGATTATATGTATAGAGAGGCCAAAAAATATGAATAAGGATATACAGTTGGAGGAGTTCTATGGTATTCTTCTTTGATACACAACAATTGCACAATTTCACTTGTGACTGAACAAATTTCTCCTGGGAATTTTCCAATATTTCGTCGTCAAGAAGATCCTGAGAGAGCGAGAGAAAAAGGCAAAAATTGTCGAAGAAGCTTTCACATATTACATGAGAATTTACTCACAAATTCTGAATCACATTTCACGAGCATTTTATCCACAATTTTACATATGAATGTCTTCATTTGGTCGTGCCCAAGCTTGTGTGGAATAATTTGAATGCTGATGAATTTTTCCTCGAAGAAATCCTGCCACCGGAGACACAATGCGAAGACAGAAAAATGCCATTTCAGCACACCCCAAGTGACATTAAAACGCGCCACGACGATAGTGTTCTCCTCTGATCCGTCTAAACACTATTAAATTTTTTATTCCACACTGAAACTTCTTTCGCCGACGCTCCCTTCGATAGCGAGAAAGCTGTTTACTCAAGTGTGAAACAAGATATTGTAATCATTCAGGAGAAATATTGGGATCATGGTGGGATACAAGGAGAAACACTTTCCATATAACAGTCAAAATGTTTGTCTCCTCCGTCCTGTCCGGTTGACATTCGATCGCATCGAAAGTGATACACTTTGCTGATAATGTAATATTCTATACTATTTCTGCTTCATACGAGGGGGTGAAAGATCCATAAGACGTACTGTTGTTACTTTCCAGGGGAATATTGAAAATTTAGCGCAGTCAAATTTTATGAAGGCATTGCCAAAATGGCTTTATATACAGACGCTTCATGGAAATTTAATTTGGTCCTGAGAGACGACAGAGAATGCTGAAAAGTTTCTCGATGTTGGGAAGCCGAAGATGTTTCAAGCAGTTAAAATGTGTCAAGTCCAGTGAAATATTGCAAAGTTATCTTCATTGTGGTTGTTATTACAAGTAGAAAAAGCGCCTCTTTAATACATGATGAAAGTCACATAAATTCGTCATGACTTTTCATGGGTCGCGAAGAAAAATAAAAGGCCCGGATAAATGATTTCTTTTAGATCGACTGATTTTCAACTTTCTTAGTACTCTCTTCTAGAATACATATATATTTGGGTTAGTATTGTGTACATATATCTTAGCTCGTATACAAGAGAGGTCTTGCAATTACATCGAGAGGAAAAATGAGGGAGAAACACAAT